GGGAAAGAGAGAAGGAAAAAAGGAGGGAAAGGAGGGAAAGAAAGAAGGAAAGAATGGAGAGATACTAGTGTGGCCATGGATAACATAGTTTTGTACTCTCCTCGTGTAACAGAGACTCAGTGGCTATATTTTGAGGGGCCAGTAGACTTTTTAGGGTCATTTTCTCTGAATAAACTGAACTGATATGATTCACTTCAGAAACTTCTAATGTTAAAGTGCTCTTCAGTGTACCAGAAATTAATCTGGTAGTAATACTATTGCCTTAAAACTATCTTCAAGGAAAAGACCAGAGAGTTTTAGTAAGGGGGACAAAGAGATTTAATTTCCATGATGTTGCAAATGAGGAGCAAACGAGGAAGATTCCAAAAGAAACTCAAAGTTGCATGTGCCTGGTCAGCAGGACAGACAGTGACATCAATAGTCATGGAGGATAAGCAAGGAAAAGTCTTGGGAAGATACACATAGAGACAAATAGGAAGGCGTGGAATAGGGACTTACAGAAAAACCTGACAGATGAACAGTGGTTGAAAATATGGGACTCTGCAGCTTACAAATCCAAAATTTTCTCCATCCGACTACAACTCTTTAAAACATACACAAGATGGTATCTCTCGCCTAAATGACTACATCACATGCATTCTAACTACAGTCCTCTTTGTTGGAAAGGGTGTGGAGAAAACAGTGATTTTTTACATTGCTGGTGGTCATGCCCCAAGATTCAATCCTTTTGGGAAGAAATTGTGGAAGAAATTTTCAAGATTACCACACAGAGACTGCCCATGGACCCCTCAATACTTCTCCTTAATTCAGTTGATGATACTCATCCTTTTACAGAAATTTCAAATCTTACATCTACGCTTCTTGCCACGGCAAGATTATCCATCGCCTCCAAATGGAAGTCTTCAGTCCTGCCATCTATCGCTCAATGGAGAGAAAAAACCTGGGAGCATTTTATCATGGACCGTATCTCACATACTGTCAACGACAAACATTCCAATCCCACCAATACACACTCCAAGTTTGTTAGAACTTGGTTCAGCTATTTACAGTATATGTCTGAAAGAGATCTTCTTCCATCCAATCCAGCTTACATAGAATGGCTTAATTTTTAATGATCTGATGAACACTCAGTAGTGTCCACACAACTTATCAATTACAAAAGAAAACAATATACCAAGTTGGTAAGATTCTTTAGCGTATTCTGGGAAAATGTGCATTTAAAAAGATGTTCTTACAAAAATTTATTACAATGATTCAAGGTTATAGTGTTGGTATTATGTATTATGAAAACTGAAAATTTGGTTGTTATATTTGTTATTTATCAGTATTATGCTTAATTAAAACATTTATAAAAAAAAAAAAGCAAGGAAAAGTCTTAAATGCTTGGAGCTGGCAGCCCTGAGGCGAGGTGAGAAGTTCCACAGGCACCGGCAAAATTCCACAGGCAGCCACGCAGGAAACGCCTGCCTGGCCTGGCCCTCCCCTCCTGCCTGTGGGAGGCAATGCGACCAGCCAAGTCGGCTTCCCCATGCTGGACCAGCCTCAGCACATGGCTGGAGTGGTGTTCGCTGTGCCCAGTCCCCCGCCTCCCTTTCCCGCCGGGGGTTGCCACCGGCTCCGTAGGCAGGTGCGTCAAGCAGCGCTGCTGCTCTCCTCCCCCTGCTCAGCTTCCTTTGTGTGGAGCCGCTGCCTTGTCAAGCCGCGGAGGCGGTGAAGGGAGCGGGCGAGAAGCGTTGCGGGTGGGGGCTGGCAGGGCGGCTCAGCTCCCTTCCTCCGGCATGAGGGTGAGGCGCTGGAAGCGGCAGCGACACAGGCTCCTGCTCTGGACAGCCAGGGCACCCGCTGCTCTCCCCCGCGAAAGTGGGATGGGGCACCGGCCGGATGAGCGGAGCAGGGCTTTTGGCGAAGGAGGGGAGGGGTGGGCTCGGAAACCAGCCAGAACGTTGTTCCATTGCATTCTAGCCCCAAAATAGACCTGCTTATAATATTCAATCATTCAAATGGTTTCTTTCAATACCAGTCTTTCAGCTCTCTTCCCCCTCTTCCATCTCTTCGTAGTTTTCTAAATTCTAATAACCACTATCTTCTCCGCTACTGCCCTTCTAACTAACATACCTACTAAGGCTCCCTAAATAATAAACATACTATTTCCAGATGTGCTCAGCCAAGTATCAGCCAGGTTAATGATGGCTCAGCTAGGTGGTCAAGTTACATTTCTAGTAGCCAGCAGGGCTTACTTTCTTGCTCCCAGCTACACAGGCAAATCAAGCTGTCCTTCAAATACATGGGAGCCACTTATTTGTGAGTGGGGAAATGCCCGTATGATGAAAATACGGGGGGACCACTAAGATACTAGTTCCATGGTGAAACCCACACAGTCGTCTCCCACCACTCTCGGTGCCAATAAAAGATAAGATGTCCTTACAAGGCTGGGAGAATATCTAAAAACTACCCAAGGAAGTTTCTTTTGTAC